AGGGCTGAGAGAGAGTGACTGGCCCAAGGTCACCCAGCTGGCTTTGTGCCTAAGGCGGGGCCAGAACTCATGGTCTCCTGGTTTCTAGCCCACTGCCTTAACCACTACACCAAACTGGTGTTCATAGTTAGAATTGGATAAGGTTAAAGAAAACTACCTTAGAGAAAACTAATAGTTTTTCATGACCTGGAATGTGGAAAAATACTGATGCTGAAACACTCACAGAATTCTAAGCAACTTTCAATGCAGCAGCCAGCAGAGGGAGCTTCAGCATGTGGAAGGCACCAAATAGCACCATGCAACCTATATGCTGCCTTTTTTACAGTTCCTTTACTGTGTCTTGAGGGTATGTTTCAAATTGATTACAGGCAATTTGCGCAGGATTTTGTGATGAATGCAGACATCCGAAGTAGCTCGTCTGCCAGCACCATTGCAGATTTAAAGGAGGATGAAGAAGATGTTTACTTCAGCTCATACGGGCACTATGGGATCCATGAAGAAATGCTAAAGGTTAGGAAATGAACAGAAGCATGACTTTATGGTGAGAAAGATGGAAGGGAGGCTGCTTGCCCATACGTATACTGCAATACAGCTGCATTTTTAACCCTATCCACACTAGACTGCTATGCTGGTAAAGCTCAGGTAAAAATGCAAGAAAAAACAAGCAAACAAAATAACACAGAACATAAAACACACACGTAAAAACACAGTTCAAAATCCAAAGGATCATGTATAGTCTGGCCTCCCCATATGCTACTTTGGTTGTTTTTTTCCCAAGAAAAGATCCCCTTCAGCGTGGATGCGAGGAATTCAGCTAAGATTGAAAAAATTAAGATAATTTTAATACATGCTACTTTATACTGATTTAGCTGAAGTGGATTATGGGCCCCGATGATTATAAGAGAAAATAATGGAATACGATAAGACTATATAGCTATGTCTTACAAATATATAACGTGATGATTTTAAAAAAAGGTAAAGGAGCTCTCAAGTGACCAAATTACATTACGATTTTAACTTCTCCATGTTATAATTGTAACCACTTGCCCAACAGTGACAATTAAATAGATTTCTCCTCTTTCTCTAAGTACTAGCCTTTTCTCCGCTTGCTTTGGTCTTGTCTAGGCAGAGATTTATGTACTTTACCTGTATATGGTTGCTAATATAGATTTTGGTCTTCAATAAACACAAACCAATAGAAGAAACTCTGAAAGCAATTCTTTTGAAATATTTTAATACTGAATAATTGGAGTAGTTTAGGATATCTTGTGATTGAATTTTGAGGGTTGAGCATTTAGCTAGCCTTTGGGAGTCTGTCTATATTAGTGACAGCAATATTACAGCATCTGGTGAGCCTGGTTCCCCCATAATGCTACTCACTAAACCATGATTTATAAATTGCAGTAGCTGGATTTACGTGTCAGGCTGAGTTACAGCTGAACAATCCACTCTGTAAGTTAGAACCCAGCTATGCCTTAGCTAGGCAAGAGAAGGCTTGCAAAATATCTTCTTTCTTATGCAGGGATGGGAAATCTTGGTGCCTCCAAATACTGAAGGGCTGCAGCTCTGTTAGGAGGAATAGTTTCAGGATTTGACTTGTAGCCCTACTACAGCTTGAGGTCCAGTGCTTCTACAGCACCATCCATGCTTAGATTTAAGCTTGAAGCTGCATAATATTTGTGACCTCACAGTATATTCTGTTGTATTTAAAATTTGGCATATTTAATAAACAAGATACTTCTGAAACAATGGTGCTAGAATCAGGAAAGTGCTTTATGCTGAGTCAAAAGAGATGGTTTAATATTAATTACCCAGCAGAAGCTAATTTAAGTAGCCTTCTAGATATGCCCAGGGGTGGGAGCACCTGAGCTGTCAATCAGTGAAGTCCATATCATTGCACTGCTGACAGGGAAGAGCCGATTCCACGTCCCTGTTTTTTGAAACTCAGGTGGCAGAGGAGTGCAGAGCAAGCATTCCTGTGGACTGCAGCAAGCAGGAAGGTTCACAAATGAGAGAGTGTTTTTTTTCGATATTGGGATTCCAAATTCACTAAAAATGTTTAACTGACGTGATCTGTCTCCAAAATAATAATGTCAAGACTCTTCCAAATTCTGGTTGATAAATCTCATCCCTAAAAGGCACAGATATAGATATGTATGTTTAATTCCTGAATGTACATTCTGGAATGTTGGTTGCTAGTTGCTGCAGGGAATTGTACTTTTGTCCTTTCGGTGTTTCATCTGGTGGTGCAGTGTCTGATTTGTATGCAAGGAGAAGTTCCCCCACATTTTTTTTTTTTTTAGTTGTCCTTTTTATACTTTTTTTTAAAACCTGTGTTTGCAAGGAGCCAAAAATAAGATCTCAAGTACTGTCTACCTTTCCTTTGCTGATTGGTTCTCTAGCCATTTACACAGATAGTAAAGCATATGGCTTTCTGGTAGTTTGTCTTTCTGCCCACATTTATTAAAGGGAATGATGTTAGTTGGTTGCTAAACAGGTTACAGAGTCAGCTCTAACACAGATGTATTGCATCTGTTCAGGTGCGCAAACTGGAAAACTACCAGTACCTGCACTTTGCATATTGTAGACTGGCTTGCACAGCTTCTGTGAGTTACTTAGTTTTGTACCTTTTTAGGTTTATGTAAGTTAGCTTCAAATAAAGCTAATAAAGAAGTAAAGAAAGTGCTCTTATTAACTAAAAAATAATTGGGTGGGTGGGTGCAGCCTAAATAACAAGATGACTAGTATTGTATTTTATTGCTTTTGCAACTTTGTATTGCAGTGCTTGAAAAATTAGACAATTTCATTAGAAAAAGAGATATGTAAATTATTTCCTTACAGACAGAAAGGACAAATAATTTAGTATGTTTAACATTTCCACCTTTCACTTAGGTCTGATAATTTTGTTGCTACTGTCTGACAAACTATATGAGAAATTCCTTAATACTTCCTCAACAAAATACTAATTTTTGTCAAATACCAATGCCTGGGAATACTTAAATATTGCTTTTGTAAGATGGGTTAAGGAATAACTGCTAGGTGATGAACTTTTTATATTACTTTCATTGGACAATAAATAGCAGTCGGTCCTCAGGACATTTTTCTTTTTATAGGATAAAGTGCGCACAGAAAGCTATCGTGACTTCATATATCTAAACCCACACATCTTTAGAGATAAGGTAAGTGAGCTGGCTTTAAAGCTGTTAATGTACTTGCAGTATGTGATGCTGTAAGGTAATAAAAGTCTCCTGGATTGGATTCCTTCTACAACTGGGATACTGAATCTTTTTGACAAGGCTTTGATTGAATGTACTAAAGTCCTATTACATGGAGAGCATTATTCAGCTGCAGAAGGGTGCAGAATACTGATAAGAGAAATGCTGATCAGCATTGTCATTGTTCAGTGTGCTCTCATGAGTATTCATTAATTATGATGACAAGGTTTTGTTGAGGTTTTTCTTGTTTGTTATTCTTAAGTGGTGTCTGAAATAAGTGTGTGCAGGTGTGTGCACACTTACGATGCATAATCTACCACAAGTGAATTTCTAACCTGTGTGTTGCATGATAAAAGCTTCATAAAGCCCCCTGAGGTACTGACTTCTGGAAAGAGTTCAGATACCAACGTTTTGGTTTGAGTGAAACCCATATAAATAATTCCTTCCTGGTAAGTTTATAAAAACATTATTAGCACGTTCTGCTTTTGCATGGGACTGAATTTGGTTTCTATGTGAAGAAATTATGGAATAAGAGTAAACAGTAGGAAAGGAAGAACTCTATCAGTATATGCCACGGAAGAGTCATCTCTCACTCATTTCATCCTTTGCCTCTGAAAGGGACCTTTTCCCACTGACTCCATTTATTGGCTCTTGATCAGAAATGCACACTTAGAAATTGCCTTCAGTGAAAGTATATCTACATCTTCCACGCAGAATTTTATTTTATTTTCTGGAAAGAATTATACCTTGGAGCTTGCAGTTAAAATAAGTTTAATGTCTTTTTTTTTTAATTTTTAAACTCTAATAACAAAGGGTACTCTGGGAGCATTTCTTTGACTTAATTATGCTGGGTCTGTAATCTAGACTCCTGTTGAGCAAAGAAGATTATGCCTGAACTTGTGCTGTGCTCCTTCTATGATACAAAGAATGGTCCCTAATCTTGTCTTGGAGCTAGAGAGCAGATATCTCTATATTTTCCTAATTACAGAAGTATTCCCTATACCAACTGCAAACACACCTTGCCATTTATGGGAAACACTTGCAGCATTTCATTCATAGATAAAAATATATTGTCTTAAGATCCAAATGTTGGGTATGTGCAGAAAAGCAGTTCTGCTTGTGGAAAGTAATCCCATCAAATTCTTCCAACTTTTCCCTTCTCCAGGATAGCCAGTTTTCTAGAAGAACTGATAGGTACACTAGCAGGGTCTCTGCTGGGTCTTCTTGGACTGAACTGGCGCTGTATGTTTCTGTGTATTGTGGTAGTTTGTGAAACATGTATAACCATGGAAATAGCAAGAGGAATAGGAACATCTGTTATAGACCATTTTTTACCTGGAACAAATACTGCTTCACCTTGAAGATTATTCATGGGCAATTGCCTATGCATGCCAATATATGCATGCTTAGGTAGACAGTGCTAATTGAGTAAGGAGTTATAGGACAATCATAGTCAGAACTGATCATCTGGGTTTTTAGAGACTACATCATCTGAAAATTTGCCTTAGGAATCATGTATTCTGACTGGGGGCAGACAGAATATTGATTAGGATGTACTTTTCAACCTTTGGGCTTTTGATTCTCAATTGTCTAGCAACATCAATAATTTTAAAAACTTAAGTTAGAATAATCAAAAATAGTGCTTGAAAAGGGTAGGAGAAACCAGGAATACATTTTTTGTGGAAGAAAAATGCTGAGTTTGGTTGCAGTACAGACCACAAATTTGCAGGCAGATCATTCAAAAATAGGTACTTTCTTAATTTTTAGCACCTGCCTGACCAATTGTTGGGTCTCTGGGTTCTTGCTTAAAAAATCCATACCATAAGGCTGAAGTCTGCCCGTCTTCTCTGCTTGCTTCTATATAATGGATCTTATAGAGATAACTAGTTTATATTTTTATATAATAATTGACAACATTTCAAAACATTTCAACATCTCTTCAACTGCTAATTGGTTTTACATTTTGTGGTGAAATAGATTTTTTTCTTTCATTTTGTTTTCTTAAAACTATTGCTGCTCCAAGTTCTGTTAGTGTTGGGAGAGGCAAAAGTACTAATTTTGAAAACTGCAATAGATTTATTTGCTTATTATTGTTGCAGAGCTCTGCCTTGCTAGCATGGAAATTGTATAGATCTATTAAAAGGGCACATTTGTGCCAGAATGGTTTGTCTTTTATGTTGGTGTTTTGAATTGTTTGTGTTTTACTATATTCACATCTTAACATAAGATCTAAACATGCCTTCCAAGGTCCTGCTGAATTTTTGTGTACATAATTACAGTAGGTAGAATCTGGAGAAATTTGTTTAAATGATTTATGTTGCTGCCCATCTCACAATGGTTACTCTGGGCGGCATACAAGAGTTAAAACAACAACTACAACTGATAACCCAAATGCAGATTGTAGAGGCATTTGTAGAGATTCATCAAGCATAGCCGTATCATAACTCAGTGCCTCAATCATAGCTATTCAGTGATTGAGGAAGTTGCAGAACTTGAATATTTGTCTGCATGCAACTTCCCTTGCTCAGTGTCATACTGAAAAGCAAAATGTAAGTACCCAGAACTTTACAGATCACCACCATCATGATCATCAACATATAAAGATGAAGAAAATATTTCATTTATAGCCTATATGGCTGGAGAATTACCTGAAATTTCCATATATGAATAAAAAATCTGCCAGAGAAAGTTCAGAAAACTGAGTCCAGGGGTTTGTAAATGGTTCCTGCAGGAAAGGGAGATGTCAGTGTCTCTGAAGAGAACATTTGCATGCCCCTCCTTAAAAGGCTAACCATGGACCCAGCTGTATTGAACAACTGTTGCCCAGTCTTTAACCTGCCTTTTTAGGAAATGTTATTGAGATGGTAAGACAATAGCTACAAAAGACTCCAGAAGAAACAGATTATCTGGATCCCTTTCAGTCAGGGTTCATGCATTGGTCATTCTTGTTGATTTTTGACAGGGCTTAGAAATCCTGCTAGCTCTTTCAGTGGCTTTTAATACCATCTACCAATGGTATCCTTGTGGTCCGCATGTGAAGGTTGAAAATTGCAGACACTATTATTCAGTGATTGGTTGCTTCCTAAATGGCTGATTCCAGTTGGTGTGCACGGAGGGGGGAACTTAGAACTTAACCCTGTACCCCATCTTATTTAACATCTGTATGGTCACCGGGGAGGCCCTCCAAAAGTTTGGAGTCCAGTTATATTTCCCTCTCCAAGGCCATCTGATGCCTGTAGGCTGTAAGTATCTGTATGATTGAGATCAACCCTGACAAGTCAGAGGAGCTGAGGGTTCAGACATCAAATGGACTAACTTTTATAAAGGTTTATCATGGAGTGAGTGAAAAATAAAGCAACATATTAATAGGAAGTTAAGCTAACTGATTAAGGCCTTCAAGAAAGTTGTAGTCACAGTACATATCTAAATGTCTACATATTTAGATGCTATTAGATTTTTCAGTGCTTGCTTAGAACTGCTACATTTAGTATTATCCAGTTGTTTAAAAAATCTCAACTGATCTTTTGTAGGTCTAAAAAGTGGCAATCTCATATGTACTGGGATAGTGCTTGAAACAAATTTCTAAAGTGAAATGAAAACCACTAAATATGAAAGAAAGAGAGAAAAAATTAATTCACCACAAACAAAGCAGCTTGTCAGATATTGGCAGCTTGACTAATTCTTGTGCTCTTGAACTCTTTTATGTCCTTCTACTAGCCATCTCTATCTTGTAGTTTTTCTTCATATTTGTTTTTTCAGCTTATATTTGAATAATAAAACAAAGATGTTACAAATATACACTCATATTCATCAATGAACAGCATATTCTGCTTAGGGAATTTGAAATTGGAAGACGGCTCAAGGGGTATGCTGGATAAACAAGATAAACTCATTTACCTTGTGATTAAAGACTGAGAGTCTGCAAGTTATGTCTAGGCTTGGTAAACAAAATAATTTTATATGGGAAGATATTATCATTTTACATAATAAAAGTGCAGTAGAATACTGGTAGAATGCCTTTCTGTTCCCTGTTAGCAAATAGCATCCTGCCAATAAAGTTTAAGCAGAAGAGTAAATTGCAAAGATAATGCTGTTTGCATAACCCTGATATGTTTGCAGGTCTATTTTTCCTTAATATTTAGAGTCTTAGGCTGGAGCCCATTTTTTTCAAAAACTTTCAACCAAAAAGAATAATCAGCAATGGTACTATATACGCTAATTTGCTTTTTTATTATTCACTAAATAGAAGAAAAGGAAAAGAATACACAAAATTATATAAAAAGAAAAAAGCTGAAACAAAGGAAACAAAAACATACAAAATACATATTTACGAACATACATACAGGTAATCCTCACATAACAACCCTAATTGGGACTGGCGCTAGGCAAAACGGTTGCTAAGTGGGAAATCACGTGACTACGACTGTTTTCCAGCTGGAAAGAGACAAAGACTATTCAGTTTCATACCTTCGGCTTTTGTTTGCCTCCTAACCGCCGCCCTGCCCTTTGGAATGCTTGAGTGCTTGCTTACTATCTTGTATGCATTGAAAGCAATACGATTGCACTGCAGCCTGGGGCTGGCATCCACAGGTGTGGTACGCAAACAGCTTACTCTCTTGAAATCCATTTCTCTCCAGTCTCTCTGCTCTGCTGTTGGGGTTGTGAAATGTTAGTACAAAAACCCTGAGGAGGAGAGAGGATTCATTCCTCCCTCGTGGAGAGCCATGAGGAGAAGAGAAGAAAATGAGGGAAACTGGAAAAAAGGCGGGCTCCAAGCCCCTCCCACACAAAGCAGCAAAGCTAAGCTGCAGTGAAGCCACCCCTCCCTTTGTGCTAGTGTGAGACAGGCTTGGTTGAAACCCCATATTTTCCAACATCTGCAACATCTCCAACATCTGCAAGGTAGGGAGGAGAAACAAAGCAAGCAGTTTCTGTAGGCAGTCTCTCTTCTGCCTGACCCTTTCCCATTGCCGATCTCATTGCTTTTGATGTACAGAAGAGCAAGCAGCTTAGTCTCCTGAAACTTCTTCCTCTCCAATCTCTCCGCTCTGGGGATGGGGGCAAGAATCAGTCAAAAGAGAGATTGCCCACAGAAATCGCTTGGTTTTTTCTCCCCCCCCC